CGCGCGAGTCGGAGCAGCCGATCCAGAGGATCTCGGGCGACTGCTGGTCCACGAGCTTGGCAAAGAACTCGGGATCGGACGCGCGCATGGCGTTGGCCCACTCCTTGTTGCGCTCGAGGAGCTGCTTGACGCCCGGCGCGCCGGTCTGCACGACGGTGCGCGGCGAGAGCGGGACTGTCGGGTACGCCGGAGCCGGCTGAGTTGTCGACGACATGGCAGGATGTGGAATGGCATGCGACCGTTGGCTATACTATCCGGATGGATCGGCCAAGTGGCACAGTATCCGGACTTGGATGGCGCTCGACGATGCCCGTCACCACGTCCGAGCCTTGACGTCGACGGCGCCGTGCCAGCTGTGGCTTCTACAAGTCGCCTCTGCACATTGCACGAGGCCACCGCATCCGAATCAGGCGTCGCCAACCACCAGCGGTCACGCCGCCCAGCTGCTCTTGCAAGCTGCCACGACACCACAAGACTGACGCCCATCAAATGCACTCAACAGGTAGAATTCAAGTCACTGGACACTGCTTACTCGGACTTGAGCGGGCGGTTCATGAGAATGTCCTTGAGGTCGTCGCGGTTCACGCGGCCCTATTCGCATCCATCGCGCTTTGCTCGACGTGATCAATGTACCTGAATCATGTCGTTGACCGTGCGGAAGATGGGGAGGTCGAGGCCGCACTGCCCGGCAAAGTACACTGCGACCTCGGCCGTCGGGACACCTTCGACGGTCGTTGTCGCGAGGATATCCTCCTTGTTCTCGCCCCTAGTTTTCATGGGCTCTTAGGTCCTCTTGCAAATCGGAGGACACGCTACTTGATGAGGCGGATGCCGCACGTCCGGTTACGCGAGAGCGAGCCAAAGGCCGTGAGCATGAGATCGCCGATGCCCGAGAGGCCCGAAATGGTATGCGGGAGGCCGCCCATCGCGATGCAGAGCTTCTGGAGCTCCAGCGAGCTGCGCGTGACGTACGCGGCGAGCGTGTTGATGCCGAGGCCGCTGCCTTCGATCATGCCGGCGCCGATCGCGAGCGGGTTCTTGAGCGCACCGCCGAGCTGGACACCGATAATGTCCTAGCATCAGCGATCAGTATACATCATCTTTTCATGGTTTGGGTTGTACTTGGGAGCTGTAAATGCGAAAGTCGACCGTCGAGAGGAGGCGCTGGACCTTGACCGCATGGTAGAGCTGCTTGGAGGCGACGACCTAAATTGCGTCAGAGAAATGCGTCAGAGGGAAGAGTACGTACCACGGCCGACGGCGCGTTGTTCATGAGCTCGAGCGCGAACGACGGGCCGGAGAGGAACGAGAGCGGCTGGTCGCGGCCCATGGCGGCCAAAATCGGCTCGGACAAAAGCTGCTTGGTCTTGAGGTAGAGCCCTAAGTATCTCCATCGTCAGCGGCTCTTTCTTTGTGATATGATAGTCATACCCTTGGACGTCACGACGAGGATGGCGTCATGGGGGATGTCGTCCTTGTGGTCGGCCAAAAAGTCGGGCGTGGCCTGCGCTGGAATGCACACGATGACAAGCGTCGCGCCGTCACAGCACTCGGCGACGCTACACCACAAGCATGAATCATCGGCGCAGAGGAATCGGAAAGAACAGACTTGTCCGAGGCGACAATCGACGGCAAGAGCTCAAACTCGGAGAAGAACTGCGGGTTGTGATGGGTCTCGTTGATGGCCGCGACCTGCGCCGGGTTGCGCGAGTAGAACGCGACGCTATGGCCTTGACGCGCCGCGATCTGGGCCATGGCCGTGCCAAAGGCGCCGGCGCCGAGGACCGCGACCTTGACGGGCTCGACAAAGGCGGACGGAAGGCCGGCGTTCGTGGAGCTGGAGACACCGAGGTGGAGCGTCATGTTCCGAGGATGAGACGGCGAGAGAAGAAGGCGGCGAAGCGGAGAGCGCAGGCGGGACGCAATGGACATCCACTGCAAATGCAAAAGTGACGTGCTTGGCCGCCGCAAATTCCCACAACGAGGCGCCACGCCGGTAAACTGTCTGGTCAACAGCTGCCCCGTCTGCGACACGCGACTCAAAAAGACCGTCTTTTTCGATGAAAAACGGGATTTTCACAGCGCAGAGACGCCGCACGTGGCTACTGCAAGCACGGACGCGACGCCGTACAGCTCGCTACAAGGTGCAGAGGCTACTGCACAGCGATCGAAGCGAGCATCTTGGGTTCGTCCGTGTTCTTGCGTCGAAGCACGTGCTGACCCAAGTCAAATCCGTAAAGTGGCGTGAAAGGCAACCAGATGGTGGCATGGTGCCGAAAATAAAATCGTCAACGGGGCACGCGACCGACGACACCAGCCTCGTCCCGCGTAGAGCCCACGGACGCGTCCTTGGATCGGTCTGGAAAGGCTGAACGAGGTCGGTACCGAGCAATACGAGTTGCTATACTCCAACAACCTGCTACTACATAGTATATTGACCCTAGTACGAATGCTAATTTAGCTTACTATGATCGAGCTCGTTGATCTGTTTGACGCAGAATCAAACGGCCTCGCGTCGAGTCGCTACGACCACTTGCCAGAAAGACATCGCTACGATCGCTCCCCAGAAAGACATCACCATGCAAACGGACGAGAAGCGGACTGTGCGGAGAGACATCGGTATCCGATCCCGCTGCCACTGTCTCCGCCCCTCGGAGATCCCCACGGCTTTCTTTCCAGCCGACGCACCGATTCGATCGCCCACATCAATTTGCGTTCATAAAAAGTACATAAACAAACGATTGCATTTCGCTTCTCGAGATCGATTCGAGCTACGGCGCGCCGGACGGCCCGAACCCACGTTGACGCCATCCATCGCTACCTACTGGTAGTACAAATTGCATGAGTCATTGACGGGTCAACACCAAGGACGCGTTACTGAGGTTCGCGTGCCGAGCTGCGCTGGGGACTGCCTTGAATTCGGCAGCAACGGATCGCGATCGGTCAGTTGACGTCATACACACGTGAGGAAAGCGTGGTGACCCGAGGTCAGCTACGTCGAGCGGCGGCGGGATCTCAATCAATCGGCGACGAAGCACAGTTGCCATCGACCCCGCGGATTGGTGATGCGGGGCGGGTGTCGCGTCGGTCGTGATGCTGAAGCCCATGCTGTCGCTTCTTTGCCGAGATTGGAGATGTGCAATTCGATGCTCGTGAAGTACCGGGCGGGCACCTCTCCCGGCCTTGAAGCAAGCGAGGACAGTCTGTGAGGACGCAATACGCGACGACAACTCGTGGTAATACACGAGCAGCTGTGTGGCATAATGCGCCGGCATAGAGTGGAGACATTGCGCAAAGCATGCATGAGTTGTGAATTGGTCGTGGGTAGTAGCGGAGTAAGCTTAGTATTAATAAGAACGATGCATATAGTAATGTAGAGATCTTGTTCTCTACTCCATGTTGCGGATCACCGTCTTCTTGCGCGTGTCAACGTACGGCACCTTGCCGGGCCGCGAGTGCTTCCGGCGGTTTTCAAGCTTCTTGTTGTCGCGCTCGTTGGCTTCTTGCTTGGCCATCGACGCCTTCTTGATGGCCTTGGGCACGTGGCGGTGCTTGGCGATGCGCCGGACCTCAGTGAGGTGCTGGAACCGCTTCTTGAGCGCGTCCTTGTACTCGACCTGCTTGCGCTCACGCGGCGCAAGCTTTCCGAGGTGCTTCGAAGCTTCGGCCTTCCAGATACGGATGTTCGTGTCGTCCGAGCCCGATAGCACAAACTTGGAGTCGGCGCTGAACTTGACCGCAAAGATACGCTGCATGCGCTTCGTGTGATACACCTCGCGGCTCTTTGCCGAGCGCACGTTGAAAATACGGATCGTGCGATCGTACGAGCCGCTGACAAACTCGCGACCCGTCGGCGAGTACGACACGTCCATGCTACAAATGGACAATGAGCTCCACGTCAGCCCACCTAGGGCCACGTACACGGCCGAGACGTGGTCCTTGTGCACCATGAGCGCGCGATCCAGGTTGCGCATGTCAAATGTGTACAAGTTGTGGTCCTCGTTGGCCTGAGTGATGGAGATGAGATGACTGGAGTACGGCAAAATGCAGTCGACGTACGACAGTAAAGTGGTACGGCTCGCGAGGGTTCCACGCAAGCGCGTTCGAGCGCATTTCGAGCACGACCTTGCGCATCGAGGTGGCCACGCGCGTGTCGTAGAGGTTGATGGCGCGGTCCGAGCCCGTCGACGCCAGCAAACTCGGCTATGAAAGAGAGATGACGTCCGTTCGACGTCGCACAGTCAAAGGTACCTCGGCAGGGTTGAACTTGACGGACGTGATCGAGTCGGCGCCCCACGAGAATTCGTGCAACGGGTCCGAACGGTGGTGGTCCCATACCTGCACGACGGAGCTGCATGTCGCGAACGTGTTGTTGGTCCAATGGTGGTCGATGCCCATGAACGGCTCCTTGCCATGAAAGGTTTGCAGCGCCTCGGGCTGCTCGTCGTCGCCGATCGCAATTGCGAGCTTCCACTGCTTGATGGTCTTGTCTTCACTGCACGAGAAGAAAGTGTTGCCGTCCGGCGCCGTCGTGAGGCCACGCACAAAGCCCGCATGGCCGTAGACCGACCAGACGCACTTGCGCCGGGGCAAGTCCCAGAGGCGGATTTCGCCATCGCACGCACCACTGACAAATGCCACAAGGCTCTTGGGGGAGCTCGCGAAGCAGCTCACGCTGTCGCAGTGGCCATCGAGCGCCGCAATGAACGGCTTAGCGAAGATCTTGTCGAGCTTGGTGGCGTTCAACGCGCGCGTGTACTACATCGGCAAAATCAAAACATGCAAAGTGAGCCAAGAACGCACCTCGCGCGGACGCTCGAACGGGTGCAGCGACGGATCATAGTTGCGGTGGATCTTGGTCTTGTCCGTCGCCAGCTCCTGCGTGAATTGGCTCTCGACGCGCGAGATGGTCTTGACCTTCATCTTTCCAAATACTGATGAGCTCTATCCATTGGACGCGACGGCTTACGACCAACACTCTACAACTACCTCTCACAGCGAATATCACACTATATACGTTTGCGTGGTAGCCGTTGAAGCAGTGTAGTTAGTGTCAACTTGGGAGGCCGAGAGTGGATGTTGCATCAACAACACATGCAGTTGGAGCAGCGTCAAAGACAGAAACGGTCGGCTGCTTGACTTTCGCTCTAATGCCATGGCTCGCTTCAATTTCGATGGGATTCCAGAACGTGTTCAAATGTGCTACCACGGTGTTTGCTCATGACTATCCTCAATTCATCAGCCTGGGTTATCGACTATTTAGTACCTTTCACTCTAATGTTAGTATGACAGGAGCAAATAAATGTACACGGCAAATACCACAGTGAACCAGCAAACATGGACTTCAACGTCGCACTTTAAGCATCCCGACCCTATGAATCAAGCTCCGAAAGGTGGTTCGTGGACAAGGCATCACTATATCGATCTAATGTTCTAGCTAGTTCGCACTCGAGGCGCATTATAGAGTACAAGTACATGTAGCCAGGCAGAGTCACGACAAACCAGCAAGTGGTGTCGATCACACTATTATTGTACTCACTCTACTGAGGACTGCTTCGATATTTGATTTGAGAGGTATAGCAATCAATTCTACGACCTTGGAATTTGTATTTGTGCGTTTATAAGCTGTCGACAAAAATATCACAATCTACAACTTGGTTTCAATAAGGCTATTAAATTCCAGTTATTAAATTTCAACTCGCGGAGCTCGCAGCCGCCCAGTAGTGGAGTGGATTGCACCGGACCGCAGCAGCAGCATGGCCTCGTACGCTCTTCGCCGTGGGTGATGAGGCGCTCACGCTGCTGTAGCATCGACGACAAGCGCGTGACGACCAAGGAAGACGAGGACGAGTTCCTTAACGGCCCGCTCTCGCTCCTCATGCAGAGCGTCAAGAACAACTCGCAGGTGCTCATCAACGTGCGCAACAACCATAAGTTATTGGCCCGCGTCAAGGCGTTCGACCGCCATTGCAACATGTAAGTGGTCATCATACTCCATGCTTCGTCCATCGCTCACATGCGATACTGCAGGGTGCTTGAGAATGTCAAGGAGATGTGGACAGAGGTCCCCAAGACAACCAAGGGCAAGGGCAAGCCGAAGAACGTCGAGCGCTTTGTGAGCAAGATGTTTCTGCGTGGCGACTCGGTCATCCTCGTCCTGCGTAACCCGCACAACTAGATGAGAATGGTTGCGCTGCCTGAATAACATAAATACACCGCGCAAAGTTCTATCGCCGCGTCATGTCGACGCCTGCCAGCGTCAAGATACGGCGAACGCGACCCGTCGACTGCAGGAGCTGACTGAGCTGCTCGCGCTGCTTCTCGCCCTTGTGGCTTTCGTCCTGGAGCGTCTGGATGGCCAGTGCCAAGAGCTCGTAGCGCTGCTCAAACACATCGAGGAAAAAAGTCATGAAGGCTGTGTACCCGACGCCCCGCTTGGACGTAGGATCCATGCGTGCCAGCGGCTCCCACATTGCTTGACTATGCACACCACCCGTGAGACGACGCAGTTGGCTTGGAGCCTTACATGTGGGCGCTGGAGAGGCCGATGGACCAGCTGCGCAGCACGTGGGCAAACTGCGTCTTGGCCACGACGCCACTGACGGACGTCGACTGCATCGCGGTGTAGAGTTGATCCAGGCTCCACTCGCGGTCTTCCATGCCGCGACAGACGCTGAAGAAGAGTGCTCGCAACTGCTTCTGGAGCTTGGCTGTGCCAGCGACCTTGGGTCTCACGGGCGGCGCCGTCGTCTCGTCGACGTGGTTGAGCGCGAGCTTGAGGCGAAAAGACGCAGCCATGGGTACGTGGCCTTTCTTGAGCGGAATGTGCGGGGGCGGCGACTGCACGTGCTTGAGCTCCGTTATGTACTTGAGCAGCCTATCTCGATGCAGCTTGGAATGAATGTACAGGCGGTCGCGCAGCGCCGCGTGGTCCAGCGCCTCAAGCTTCTCGCGCGAATCGATGTGCGCTTGGAAAAAGCGTGGAATGTATTGGGCGAGGTGCACAGACGTGAGCCACACAGCAATGTCCAGGGGCTGCGATGGCGTAATCGGACTCCTTGGCGGCGACGTAGGCACGGTTACGGCGGCGTCGTGGGCGCGCAGTTGGGCTTGGCAAGCCGCCAAAAGGGTCAAGTGCGACGGCTTCTGGGGCTGGAAGACGCGCAAGAGACCGTCCATCTCGAGGCGCAGAAAGGACGCGAGGGACAGCTGGTCCAATCGGCGCACGTACACGAGGAGTTCCCGGTCTTGTGCCCAGAAATATCTAGCACACGCTTTGACAACCGGTCTACATGACGTCACGATACCGCAAACTGGAGAGATCCGTGACCATCGCGAGCTGGGACCGGCGGTGGCGGGCTAACGCATCGCGCGCGGCTTGCGACGCCACGGGGCTCGCCAGCGCCGAGATCGCCTCCAGTAGCACCATTCGGTGATGGGATGCGCAGAAAAAGAGTGGCATCTGTGGTAACAGTCGCTCCAATGACGTGGCAGCCCAAGACGACGGTTGATGTAGGTCGATGTGCAAACGGGGCCCCAGCTGGAGGAGCTCTGCCCCCGAAACCTGGCACGTAGTAGCAACCTACGTCTGCATTAGTGTTGTCACGTGCTTTCTAGTCGAGAGTGCCTCGAGGGGTAGGCGAAAGAGCGCTGTGAGCCAAATGCCCACGAGGTCGCATGTCCACGTCTCTGGCCGAAGTGCTTTTCGCGCGAGGTAGTATTGTCTCCACGTCGCGACAACGTCCCTTACGCTGTCCCGATGCCGACGCTTCTTGGCACGCTCGGTGCGGTAGCGAAGCATGAGCTGCCGCTTCCAGGCCTTGAAGCAGCGCTCAAGCACGAACCGCCGCCGCTGCGCTTGGTCGCGGCGAAGTTGCACTTGTCGACCGCAAATCGCATGTTGCTGTTGCCATTGATACCAACGCAGGCGGAGATGCATGGTTCTCAACGGCGATATGAGATGGCGGACGCCGCGCTTGAGCTGCCTCCACGCAGCGAGTCGCGTGCGCCAGGACCGAAACGCCACACGAAGCGTCTTGAGACATACTTTGCGTCGGCACCGATGCACGCGTCGCGCAAGCTGTACGTGGTGCTTCCAGCGGCCGAAGAGGTGGTGCAGCGTCTTGGCTCTTGCGCGTCTGTGCTTGTGGGCGATCTATACCAGTCGCTGAAAGCCTCCGTCAACACGCACTTAATGTACCGTGCGACTGCGCTGCGCGTAGAGCTTCATGCGTTGAAACGTGTAGGCTACCACTTGGACCACGGCGCGCCGGTACTTGACCTTGATGCGCCGTAGCAAGCGCACGCGGGTGCGCCACGCGACAAAGATGCGGAATCGCCGCCGGTCGTACGCGCGGACAGACATCTTTCGGACAACGTTTAGGAGCAGAGCACGTTTCTTCCAGCCACTAAATGCTCGTCGCAGCCGGTTCTTGTTATCCAGAGCTTTGGTCGCTTCAATCTCGGCCCATATGTCGGCGTACTTGTCCTCGAGCGTCGCGACAGCGCTGTTGTGATTCGGGGCCAGCGCGTCGAGGTGTTTAAAGGCATCGCTCAAGAGCGATGCCACGGTCGACATGGACGTTGTTGATGGCAGCACCATGAAATTGTCCGACGTCGGCAAGGCCAGCGCGTGGTGCATGCGCCCGTAATGGCTCACGTCCGCCGCAATGCTGCTGTCTTCGTGCTCTGCCACGTACTCGTGCACGGCCTCGGCGAAAAGACCCACTTGTTTCGGCACGTGCAATCGCGGCACCGTGGCCGAGAGGAGCGGCTCCGCTTCAGCAACCACGGGCTCTGGTGTGTGAGCCGGGGGCTCTGCGAAAACGTTGTCGGGCGTCGTCGTTGGCTCATCGGACGGTGCGTTCGCGGCAGGTGCATCTGCCTGCTCCATCTCCCAACCGGATCAAAAATAGACGCGAGTAACCCAAATGGCGCAACGTTCAATCGCAATAACTTGGAGAAGGTGCTCAGCTTTTGGAAATCACTACCGGCAAAGGCAGCTCTAGCTGGGCGCTCGTAGATCCCAAGCCATTTCGTGTTGTCGTCAAGTTTGCGCATCCGCACTTGTTAATTATGTTGCTTATGTGAGCACGTCGCTGGCGTTGCCACATCATGAGCGTAGACCCAGAATGTGCCAGCTTTCCACCATACCATTCTATCGGCTTGCCGTTTGTGAGTACCAGCAGACGCCCTTTGATTGTGGTGAGCCGGTTAGCCATCGAGTAAACCGTCGAGGAATTTGGAGCCGGTTCTGCAGTCGAAACGCCCAGTCGCCTTTTTCAGCTGCAAGGGCAGGCCAAGCACCATGCTCGGTTGGCTGGTCTGGAGCGTCATGCTCTTGGCTGTGGGCTTTACCGTCGGGGCCCTTTCGATGGTGCTACTTGGTTGGGAGCCACTGCTGCGGGGCGCGGTTCGAGTTGTCCGAGCAACTTCGAGGAAGAAGCACGACCTTGTGGCGACCCGAGGCAACCAGGTCCGATTTACCTCGCTTTCGCAATCGTTGGTCTCGCACCCGGTGCGCGCAGCAGACATCCTTGCGATTGCAGCTCTCGCATCCAAGCAAGATCTGACAGATGTCGACTCTGGCCGGGAAGGTGCGGATCTCAAAGACCTTTCGATACCGCTGCAGGTGACGGAGCTCAACCGCGTCGTTGATCGTCTCTTGGGCGAGGCCCTCGGTGCTTCGGCGCAATTGCAGATCATCAACACTGCGCTATCGCGCGACGACGTCGGAGCTCTTCGGACGAGCTTCTTGTGCTTGACAAAACCCACGTCTCGAATCTTTCGGGTACTAGAGACGACGATCGATTTCTTCAATGCTCAAGTCACGTAGACAACGCTGCTGACGCTACGAGTGCTCGTTCAGCGTGCATCGGATGCGACGCCCAGCGAAGGCAGCGCCTACGCTGCAGCGATGGCGCAGTTTCTCGGCCGCACGTTCGGCCCAACGCTGCAGCTGGACTCGATTGCCCTGACTCGGCTTTTGCAAGATTACGAAACTATCATGCAACGCGTATGTCACAAAGACCCCGTGGCATTCACTCATTCGCTTGCAGATGTTGGCACTGGAGGCTCCGTCCGAGACTCTTCGCGCGTACGCTGCAGGTCCAGCGCTTCACGTCGCCTCAGCTGAACAGATTGCACCGCCTCCAATCGACGTCGCATGGACCAACGCTGTGCTATCGCGCTGGTTCCAAGAGTACGCTTCGATGCCACAGCTTGTCGCTGTTTGGGAGGCTTCAGCCAACCGCCTTTTGCAGAAACAGGCTCTGCCCGGGACCATCGAAACACTAGCGCTTCAGCAGCTGACGCTCGGGGCGTCTCCTCCGTGTATTTCGAGCCTTGCGCTTGTGTCCACGCACGCTCCGGACGAACTCGTACGTTATTCTCAAAGAGAAAAGAGGAAAATAATGTCGTCAACCTAGTGCTTGGCGTTCACACTGGACTACACGGGTGACGCGAGTGTCGAGGTGCACACGTCCGTGCCCGTGTCGGACTTTAAGGCCAAGGTTTCGATGCGAGTCCGCATCAAGTCGTTTCGCGGACGGTACGTCCTTGGCTACCGCTGCGCGCTAACGCACCAATAGATTGCGCCTTCTGGTGCCGCCCGCCAGGGCCGATCCCGGCCACGGCTGGGTTGCCTTCGAGGAGCCACCGACGTTTGCGCTCAGCATCGAAAGCTGCCAACACCCGGTGCGCCGAGATATCGATTCCCAGTTTGTGATTCGTGCTGTGTAGCCGCAAGCGCTGCCGCAACTCGCCAAACTCGTTTCGCTTGAAATCCTCGAATCCATCACTGTCGATGCCACACTGCCTCACTGGACGTACATTGAGCTCCCGTGGCACCCCGCGACATCGTCCCTCGACACGTTTTTTGTGGATCTTCGAGCAGCGACTGGGACTCCGACATCCGATGCGTCCGCCAAGTCGTTTGTGGAAACCGCGGGGGGCCTCATGGGTAGCGCTGTCGGGAGTGCGTTTGGCGGTGCGTTTGGCGGCAAAGTCGCGCGGGCTGTCGGTGAAAAAATGGGCGAGCACCTTGCCAAGTAGTCGTTTACCTCGAGTGTTAGGGTTTCATGCTAAGATCGGTCCTGCGTAGGTATGCAACGTCGACGTTGTCACCTGTCGTACACGACGTTGTTGCAACGGCCAAGTCTTTTCGAAGCCCCAAACACAAGCCAACGTCGCCAACCACCACGTCGGCACCGACGGAGAGGTCCATATCAGCAGACAAGTTGGTCGCCCTCGCGCGGAAAGCCAGTCACGGTATTCCAACTTGTTGAGCAAACCGCGTGGCTCGAAAACTCATAGCAAAATTCAATAGTTGACACAAAGGAGCCGACGCCCCATCCTGTCTCGGCACCCAATGCTAGCATCAACGTGGCGCAGCTGGTCTCGCGTGCAAAACAAACCGCAAACAAGGCGCACGCCGAATGAGTCTCGATATTACCCCGTCGAATTGAGTTTACGACGCAGCACCAATACATAAACCATATCATTTTCATAGTTCCACGGAAGATCGTCGTCGTTCGTGTAGACCGCAATCTCGAACGTCTCGGCCAAGCATTCCAGCAGCGCCATTTCGCGTCTAACGAGTAGCAGTCGCAAGTCGAAGAGAACAAACTCGTACGTACTCTGGCAGTCGCTGTTTGTACGCGAGAAGCACCGTCGTGGGGGGTCCAACAACGTCATGGAGTGTCGCTGTAAAGTCTGTAAACACGGCTTCATCGTAGAGGCAGTCGGCGCACAAAATAGTGTCCCACGGGCCAGCATGCGGCGGTTTGGTGCCCCTAGACCGCTCACTGAATTACCTGTGTACAAGTCTCCTGCTAGTATACCATTGGTACACGCCGACACAGAGAGCTTGCTTGGACCACAGTTTCTCCACCGGAGCCGACGCGGCGACGGCAGCCTTCGTATTGCGCAGAGTCAACGGAACGATCGAGGCCAAGTCGGTTAGTAGCAAGGTCGTAGGTTTCAAGTGGGCGGCGGCGAGACCAACACCACCTATTCTCGAGGTGAACTACGTTTGGTTGGTGCACATTGATACCTGTGCCGCTGCCGAGCTCGAGAACGCGGCAGCTGCGAACATACTCGGGGCAGCGACAAAGCACTTGGATGAGCGCTCGACCCTACACTCAGCGTTGACGATGGCCGCTGGGCGTTGGTCAGCACGTACGCAGTTCCACAACACACCGCCGACACCGACGGCCATGTCTTGGTGCAGCTCAATCTCAATTGGCGGGTCCATCGCGACAGTAACGACGACAGAGGCCTGACTCGCTTGCAAGTAGTTCACACCGAGCGTCGGCTGCCCTTGCGGCGGCAAGATCGTCGGTGTCCACGCCAAGAGTCCCATGCGATCTTCTTCCCGACGGCTCAAAGTGAAAATGGATATTTCGAAATATGGCGACAGGATCATTAATAGTGTTAGCGTCCGCGACGCTCATCTACTTCGAAGTGGTCGACTGATGTGTCGTTTGAGACACAATAGCACACAAAGAACTAGCGTCGTGATCATTGCAAAGGCCACTTGGGCCGGCCAAAGCAGCGCCAGCTCGGTGTCGAGGCGGCCTGCCGTGTTGATGGGTCGGAGCTTTCCTGCTGCCGCCAGCCTCGCGGCAGTGGACGACACTTGTGGTGCTATTGAGCCCAAGACCGGCGGGTGCGACATGGTCGGAGTGCCTTCTGCCAATGTTGCGTTGTTCCGACCGGGATTGAGCGGACCACGATCTTCTCTTTCGTCTTCTGGCTTTGGCTGCGGTGCAACTTGGACGCTTCGTGTTTTGCCTTTGTCGTCTGCGAGCTCAAAGCTCGACGGCACACCCCAGCGGTTCTCAAAGAACGCTTTCAGTCGCTCAACAACCTACGAAACAACTGTCGTAAAGCACATATGCAACGCGCTCGCACCGCCGGAACTGGCGTCGACATGTCGTCGTTGACGCAAATGAACTTGGCCGTCGACAACTTCTTGTCTCGGAGGAGCGCCGCCATGCTGCGAGGGTCCTTGATCATCGCAAAGACCACCGGAGGGTTTGCCACAATGCTGTGTGCTGGCGGTACGCTGCTCGGTGACAACTGCGTGAGGTGCAGTACCAACAGCGGACACTGCGACTCCAGGCTAGCTTTGGTTAGTGCGGTCGCATTTCCGCGACAAGCGTCCACGACAGCCTGGAGCTCTGATGAAGGGCGCTGCCAGTCGCCAAGGAGCCGCGCGATGCTATCCATCTCGATAGCGTCGATGGCTCCATTGTGGTTGATGTCAATGAGCGAGTTGAACACTTCATGAAACGTCGATGCTGGGTGCAGCTGGCGTCGGTTCAGAACGTAGTGCATGTACGAGAAGCCGAACTGCATGTCGTCGGGCTCCCGGAAACGGTGCGACGACGTGGCTGCAAACTCAGTAGACCACCGGTGCTTCAGCTCCGTAAGCAGGGGCTTCTGGATGAAGTGTGGCATGTGCGATGGCACGCCCCGCGCTTGCACGGGCTTCCCAAATACTCGGTTGAAGAGAATGTTGACGTGCCGCAACGAATCACCAAAGGTGTCTGTGTAGTCGACTTGCGACGTCAGCGGCGGCCGTGATGCGCAATTGTCGCTCGTGGGCGGCGGTGTCTCGGTGCCGAACTGCATACGGCACATCTACGTGCATGTATCAGTTGAGCTCTAGACTTGTCGATATACCATCGAGACGAGCGTTGACGAGTACTTGAACGAGTCGGGGCCGGTGCCGAGTTTTTGGCCAAGCTGGGTGCAGTGCGCAATCACATCGAACTTTGGGACACTACGTCGCCGCTGATCGCGACCGGTACACCGAGATCCGAGCGAATTGTAGGAATCGGAACACCATTTGTACCAAGCACAATCGCGCGCCAACACTGGGCCATTTGAGACGGACACGGCTGGTGTCTGCAGCGGCCACACTTGGACGTCCGCATCAAAATTTATACACGCTTCAAAGCCAGCGTGAATGCAAACGAGGGCATTGACAGTGTCGTCAACGTTGAGTCGTACGCTCAGTCCCAACGCCGAGATCGTACAGGCTCGTCCCGGAGCGCTGGTCTTTCTGCAGTTAATAGTGCTCGTGTCGCCGGCCTTTGTGACGCTGATGAACACCTTAGATGTCGTTGGGGCAAACCACGGGATAAGGACGTCGGCGGATGCATCGCCCCGTGTGATGTTGACTTTGCTCAAGTCCAAGGCACCATACGTGCGGTTCTTCTCGGTGAACCAGATACCACTGGTCATCGATTCGCCATAGGTGGATGTCGCAAGCTCCATTGATGTACCATTTGCCATGGTGCGGAGGTGAAGCACCGATGGCGGTGGGTCAGCCAAGAAGACGACAACTGCATCATGACGAGGCACCACGACGGCGCGTCGAATCCCAGTGCTCGTGGCTGGAGCGATACCACCGGTCTTGAAGAGCACGAGAACTGGCGTCGGGTTACCCAGCAGTACGGCGCTGTGTTTTGGCCGGGCATCGAGCGCAATGTTTGCGTGCGGCAGTTGCGTCAACCGTTGCGGCAAGCAGTCGCCAGCGTCAAAAGCGCACTCGACCAAGTTGCACTTTGGATTGCAGACACCGTCACCGAGTTTGCTCCAGCTACAGCCCGCAGCACACGTGGCGTCCGGCGAGTAGGCTGCGTCACCAACGCACACCTCATTCCACGAGCTCACCGCCTACGCGTCCCGTTAGGAGTTGAGGTTTTGCCGTGCGACAAACGACCTACCATAGCCGGTGGCATCGCCGCTCTGTCACACGTGCAGTCGCCAAGGTCGTAATCACAGCTCGCAACGTTGCAGCTCGCGTGGCACTGGTCGTTCCCGAGCATCGCGTGCTTGCATCCTGGCGCACAATCGGGCGCGTCCCATGCGAAAAACAGGTTCTGAGTCCCTCGCGGACTCATAAAGTCGGACGGCAGCACCGGCGCCGACAAAAACACCTCGTCGTTAAAGTACAAAAAGTACTCGGCCAGCCCAGGAATGTTGTCCAGATGCGACTCGATCGCGGGCGACGCAAACGACGGCAAGTGCGACGCATTCGGGAAGATGTCGCTGTGCGGCACGACTGTGATGCGCGGGTGCGAGAGGTCGAGCCACGTGGGCACTTGACCGTCCGTCACGAGAAAGATGCGTCGGATCCACGGCGCGTACGTCTCGAGCGACCGGATCGAGTAGCGGAGCTCGTCGTTGTCTCGGAACCGGTTCTCGGCCGAGGCCGAGTCTTTCGTGGCGTTGCGGCCGCTCCAGCGCTGGAGCCAGTGGCTCTTGGATTGCTGCCACGTGGGGTCGGATCCGTTGACCCACGTGTAGACAGCGTCGATGGGCCCGTACGCGGCGTACTCGACACCGGACGTATCGATGTTCCCAATGTTGTCGTGGGCAAACAGCGGCGACACGAGCAAGAGCGCGACGGCCACCGCCAACGCCATTGCGCCAAGTCGCACGTGAGAAAATGGCGACGACGTTACGAGGCGCGCGCTGGTCCCGTCCACGGAGTGGGCGGCGTTTAGCCCGCAACGAAAACTAGTGGTATATTTAGAATGAGACGGGGCCAAGCACGAGAAACTTGTCACCCACACGGGTCAAGGACTGCTGCGATCGCAATCTTGACCTGCGAACAAGGGCTTGAAGCTGTTAACGGGTGATCTAGCGACGCCTGTGTACATACGTGATGGAGCGCATTGGTGGTTGTTGAAGCCGACACAAGCATGTCAACTGTCAGTTTCACCTACCGTGCTAGCCCCGTCTAGCATTTACTGTTGGAGCACACGTGCAACGGTCGCGCTAGGAACCTGTCCTTGCGCGACCGGTAAATCAAACATGAAACGAACCCGCAATGTGAATATCCAAGAGCGTCCAATTGAGCTTGTCGTCGGCAAACCTGACGAGAAATCGGAGTCTCTGTAACCTTGACAGCTAAAGCGGATGCTTGGTCTTTGGTTCGTTGCAATAAAATTACTCCTATGCCGCTGAATGGAATTGCCACTGGCGTGTCATACGATAAATGTCAAGGCGGTCGGTGCACCCTCTTGCGGTTGGACTCGGCGACGGCTGCTGCCCCTCAACCGCGAGTACAACACACTCGACACCCACGGCAGCAGCCACGGCGTGTAGTGCCAATACGATATGTGAGGTGTGTACACTCGTGATGGTCGAGGCGCAGTTTGCGCTTTGACTTCTTCATAGTACGCGCTCAACGTGCTGTAGCTGTGCGTCGCACCGTATAGCAGCTCGAATGTTGATGGGTGTGGCCAATGCTGCCTCAAAAACCACTGCAGCACGAACGAAACCTAGATGAGTACATAAAACTAGGAAATGGTCCCGCGACGTCAAACCTCTGGTGCCGGCCATGAAATGTCGTCGTTGATGCAAACAAATTTCTGAGTCGTCAAGTGCAGTTGGTACTTGACGTCGATGGCGCTTGCCTGGGAGTTGAGCATCACAAACAACACCGGGGGCGTGCGCACGCGGAACGTCGCCGGTGGCAAAATCGGTGCCGTCGTCAATGCGGTAACGAGATCCAAACAATTGGCCATCAAGAACGCTTGCGTCCATGGCGCATCCGTCGAGCAGGTTGTAAGCTGCTTGGGTACAAGTGCCTGGATGTTCTCAACCTCGTATTCGTCGACGACGCCATTGTGGTTGATATCGATGAGTGAGTCAAACACCTCGGGAAGTGTCAATGGCCGGTGCCGGTTTGCAACATAGTGCATGTACGTAAAGCTAAACTGCATGTCGGTCGGGAGGCGAAACCGGTGTGACGACGTCAGGTCAAACTCGACTGGCCAAAGCTGCTTGGCTTCCGTCCAAAGCCGCTTCTGGACAAAGTGCGGCATGTGCGACGGCACGCCCCGCGGATGCACCGGATGTCCAAACGTTTTTGTCAACAGTCGATCCACAAATCGAAGTGAATCCCCAAACATATCTGGGGCCGTAGCATCGTCGCCGAGCTCTTCCGGCGCCAAGCAGCCTGCGATCCGCGACGGCAGCATTTCGGTGCCAGCACCAACACGGCACATCTACATGCGTACTGTATGTGATGGACGGCATAGAGAGGTAGGGAATAACAACACCTTTTTCAACATGGCGGCACCGGCCTCATCGCTGGCGTCTCGTGTGCAGAGCGTCACCAACGCCGTCTTGGCGCGTCGCCCCAGGTATGCGATATCGTTCACGCACGACTCGTCGAGCGATTCGAACAAAGCAGTGCACGAGAGGTACCGACCGCAGTCGCGAACAGTTGTGGGCAGCACCAGTTCGAGATGTGGAGGCGTTGCCACATGCACCGATGTGTTAGCAGACACGACGACGAGGCAGCTAACTTCATCGAGGCACAGGCGCACTGTCGAAGCCAGTGTCGACACGGATAGGTTGGACCCACTCCACGAGCAAGCAGCCGTCAAATTGGTGTCACCGCAGCGAATGCGCGTCAACACACCGTTGACAACAGTCTCGGCGTACACCGCAGACGAGGCGTTTCGAGCTGGCGCATAAACACGTACATCGAGTTGGGATGGCTCGAGTTGGAATGGCTCTTGCCAATGGGTCACGACCGACGCAGCGGACCAAGCATCAGGCGCTCCGTCAATGTACCAGAAACCGCGGTGCAGGTGACGAGCGTTTGGCACCACAACTACCGTCCATGACGCGTTCGATACGGTATTGGTCAGCATGAGCACAGTTCGGGCCACGACAACACCATGACCGTCTATGGATTGAAGCCGGCGAGGCGCCAAGCCACTGTTGGCGGCTGTTGCCGACACTTTCGTTCCCAATTGCGACGTGTTGAGCACAATGGTCGACCCGTCAAGTGCGAATATCGAGCTCTCGCCCACGCTCACTTTCGGCAACATTGACAGCGCACGTTCGTCACAGTCACCAAAGTCGAAGCCGCACTCTGCGAGGTTGCACTTTGAATTGCATACGCCGTCGCCCAGCTCGTCCCAGAGGCAACCCAAGCGACACTCCGAGGTCTTCTGCGCCATCGATCGGTCTGGTGCTCGGCACACGGTATCCCAGTCGTCTTGTTCCTACACTCGCATAAAGCCGCTTCCCTACTTATGGATAGAGCGTACGACAAGCAACATGGACGCGTCACACGTGCAGTCGCCAAGGTCGTAATCACAGCTCGCAACGTTGCAGCTCGCGTGGCACTGGTCGTTCCCGAGCATCGCGTGCTTGCATCCTGGCGCACAATCGGGCGCGTCCCATGCGAAAAACAGGTTCTGAGTCCCTCGCGGACTCATAAAGTCGGACGGCAGCACCGGCGCCGACAAAAACACCTCGTCGTTAAAGTACAAAAAGTACTCGGCCAGCCCAGGAATGTTGTCCAGATGCGACTCGATCGCGGGCGACGCAAACGACGGCAAGTGCGACGCATTCGGGAAGATGTCGCTGTGCGGCACGACTGTGATGCGCGGGTGCGAGAGGTCGAGCCACGTGGGCACTTGACCGTCCGTCACGAGAAAGATGCGTCGGATCCACGGCGCGTACGTCTCGAGCGACCGGATCGAGTAGCGGAGCTCGTCGTTGTCTCGGAACCGGTTCTCGGCCGAGGCCGAGTCTTTCGTGGCGTTGCGGCCGCTCCAGCGCTGGAGCCAGTGGCTCTTGGATTGCTGCCACGTGGGGTCGGATCCGTTGACCCACGTGTAGACAGCGTCGATGGGCCCGTACGCGGCGTACTCGACACCGGACGTATCGATGTTCCCAATGTTGTCGTACGGACCGCCGAACGTGTCGAGTGTGTAGGCGACGGCAGTCGCAACAGCGGCAACAATCAGCAACAACGGCAGGTGGTGGCGCCAGCGCGACCCGAGGGTTCGCTGCTTGAGCTGCTTTGTCAGCGTTTCTTGCACATCGGCCGTGGTGGTCTTTGAACTCGGGGGGCGGCGCATCGGAATCGAATTGAAGCTGCCTCTCAAACCTTACCAGCGCCGGTGAAACGGTATCGTACGTCAATTCGCGACTTGGCTCAGGCGGCCGGACCCTGGCACAGATCATCAGTTTCGCAAAGTAGCTCGAAAAAGGAAAAAGGAGAGCACCCGTCGGCGGTTTCCGCATTGGATCCGAACGACCGACGCATGCAAAGCAACGCAAGTAGTCCCGTCGCGACAGCCGACCGGCTCTCGACGCTCGAGGCGCTGCCGAAGCCCACGGGCGTTCGCGACCGCATCCGTGCACTCCACGCGCTCAAGCTCGCCGAATGTCCACTCCCGTCGCCCCGCACCGGCGTCGTCGAGATGCCCCCGTCTTGTTGGTTTCGTGCTTTCTCCTGCTGCAGAACTCGGTCTGAGCGCACAACGCTGCACTTGAGTCTTCGCGGGCTCGCGTGGCAGCGTGAGTGCATCTCGCTCGACGACCTCATTGGCGCCGTCGTCGACGCTCCGAGCCCGACATGCTTCACCGTGCACTTTGCCCGAAAGACGCTAACGAACGACCGCGTCTTTTGCTCTTCAACGGTGCGAGTCGATGGCCATCAATGCATCGTTAACCTCCTCGCTAGTTTACGACGTTGACGAGCGACGAAGCAGGAGCGTGGGTCGGCGACCTCCGAAGACTCGTGGAATGGCATGCGCGGGTGCCACAGAACTCGCCCCGCCATATCCACGTGCTTCTCGATCCGCAGATAGCAGGAGCATCGGCAACATGGGTCGAGTGCGCTCCCTACGTTCACGTCGCACGGATGACGGCCACTGTTTTCGACAACGTTGCGCCCGCCAAGTACGGGCAGCGATACTCGGCCGAGCCCAAGAGCGTTTTGCCTGAATGCATCTTGGTCGTCGGCGACAACGCGACACTGGAGGCTGTGCTCAACGGCTTTCTCGCACAAGGCGAAACGACGGCACGAGCTGTGCTCGGGAGCTTACCGATCGCCCTCGTCCCAACATTTCGTGACGAGCCTTTCTCGGTACGAATGCTCGACTACGTCGGGCTCTACCACATACATCTAGAGAGGAATACGGTGCCCGACGCCAGCAGCTGCGGTTTTTTGCGCCATCAAGCGCAAGACTCGCACAGTTGACGCTATGGGTATGGCCTCACTGGGTGGGCCCGTGCGCATCTCGTGCACCAGCACCGTCTACGACGTAGCTACAGATCTCCCAGTGACCATCGGCTGGGACACGTTTCACGCCCCGACTACGATCGACCCAGACCAAGGCGCAGCCCTCCAACACCAAGTCGAAGTCGCCAGCTCGTACCGCGGAAGCCACCGGCGTGCTTGGAGCGGCGTCTTTGAAGCACCCGAGGCGCCACACATGACAACAGTGACGGTTGCGGAGGTGCCGGAGCTGCTCTCGATCGCAGTGACCAAAACCACACCACTTGGGACAGAGGATATCGCGCTCTCGGACGGTGCGCTGGACGTTCGGTTGACCTACGCGCGGGGGTGCGGCAGCCACTTTGTCACTGTCCGCCGGGGCAAGAGCAAGCACGTGGTCGTGACGCTGCCATTGAGAGACCCTACGAGCATCTACTGCTTACCACACCTTCTTCTCGTATGCAGTGAAGCTTGAGAGACTGCGTATTCTCTTGCAACCAGCAGCAGCACCTGTATTTACTCCACGAGAAACCACTTCGATGACGTCGCTCCTCGATGGAGAGCAACGCGTCGTAATCTTTCATTAGCGATCTGCGGAAGGTGGTCCCCTACATTCGGGGACTTGAGCTAGGATCGAATGTGTATTACTTTGAATGTCATGCTGTGGGGCTCAACGGTGCCCTTGAAGTGCGCCCGACGAGGACGTTGACGAGCGCCGACCCATCGTCGTCGTGAAAGTAGCACTGCTCCGCGGCGTGGCAGCCGCTCCACCTCGGCACCTCGTAGTACATATCGCGCTTGAGGATCTGGAGCACCCGCGCGAGGACGCGGTCGCACGTGTCGTAGACCCGGGCACCTGTCGCCTCGGCGCGCTTGTCGAGCTTGGGCAGCGTTGGCTGCAGATTCACCAAGACCAAGTGTTTGGCAAAGCTCCCCGCCATCTCGCAGAATGGCTCGACGCGCAGGGACGTACCGAGCACCAAGGCCACGTCAGCGGCCTCGCAGTGGTCGATAGCTGCGTCAATGTCATCCATCGGCGCGTCAAAGCCGATGACGTAGCGCTGGAGGTACCCGTTGCTCTTGCGCGTGCGCTTGGAGAGACGCTGCTCGATCGGCTTCTTCACGGACGGACACGCCGCCTGCGTGCAGAGGCCAAACACAGGAAACGCCTCCTCGTACACATACTCGCACGTGTCGCAACGTCCAAACGTCGCGTTCCCATGCAGCTCTGTGAGCGCGTCCGGCGGAATTCCGCTCTTGCGATGGAGGTTGTCGACGTTCTGCGTCACGACGTGCTTGACCCGCCCCATGCGGTAGAGCTCGGCCAGTGCCATGTGCGCTGGCGACGGCACGAGCGTGTGCAAATCTGGAATCACCGCGTTGCTTCGCTGCTTCTTCTTGGACGACTTGCGGATGCCATTTTCACCGCGGTAGTCGGGCACACCCGTGGACGTACTCACGCCGGCGCCCGTGAAGACCACGAGGTGCTTGGCCGTCGCGATGAGGTGCGCGATGCGCTCGCACTGCGCGTCAAAGCTGCTCGTCTGGCTGCTGCTGCTCAGTGGCGATGCTGCGCTCGTGGCATCGGCCTTGATCGACGGCTCTGGCGAAGCCGATCGCCGTCGCTTCGGGGCCGTCCGGTGTGGCATTGCGCGGATCTTTGGAAGGTGGCCGAATTTAGAGTGTGAGTAATTCATTGCGGCCGACGTGGCAAACACTTGCGTCTAGTATCTGCATTGGTAAAATAGTATTAAAACCGCCACAGCCGGACCAAACGACCGTTGCGAAAACAGTGTTTTGCAGAAGAAAATTCTGTTTTGCCGCGAACGTCCTTGCATGCAGGCTTCCTACTGCAGCAACTCGAGCTACAACAAACGACTCCTCCAAGCGTCAGGATGTGGTATATTCACTATGATCTACAGCTGCAGCGAACGCACGCTTGACGCTAGGAACAAGGCTAACACAATCTCTACGCAGACGCCAGCTTGGCACCCGATTCGTCGAGGGCGACGTTGTGCTTCTTGAGGAGCGCGACGACGGTCTCGACCTGGTCGCCCGCCTCGGACTTGGTCAGCTGAAACAGGACGTGGTTGACGGTCTTGGAGTCGATCTTCTTGGCCGCACTACAAATACATAATTAAGCTCGATAGATTGGCGCGAGAATGGCGTACGCAGCGGATTCGAGGACGGCGAGGGCCTTCTCGACATCGCCGGAGCGGAGGTGGGCGCTGATGGCCAAGTGGTACGACACCGGGTTGTAGCGAATGTCAAACTTCTTGGCTTCGTCAAAGACCGCGATGAGGTTGGCATCGTCTTGGGCGTTCTTGAAGTGCACGAGGAGCTTGTTAAGCGAGCCAGCGTTCACAAAGAGGCCAATGCGGCGGTTTTGCGAGAGCGCCGAGACAGCGACATCGGCGGCGTCGTGCTGGATGCACGCCTTGACAAACTCGCCAGCCGTCACCTCGATGGGGTCGATGTGCTTGCGCTCGTAGATCTTGAGCGCTTCCGTGCTCAGCTCGAGGTCGGCCTTCGACGCGGCCGTCTTGAAGAGGTTCGTGAGCTTGGAGACCTTGATGAGCTTGTTCTTGGCCGCATCGGCCTTGATATCCTCGAAGAGGACGTTGAATTCGGGGAGGACGTACGCGGACGTGCTCAGGGCGCGGACACCGCGGCGGCTCAGGGCTTGCAACATGCTGCTTCTGGATCAAGGAGTTGACTGGTGCAAATGCCAAGCCTGGTTAATCCTTGAAATTTAATTCTATCTTGCGTTTTGTATTTGGTTGTACGAAAAAGCATTCTATAGTGGCAGCGTGCGATGCCATTGGGCAAATCCTCAAGTTGACGCACTCTATTTTGGTATAACACCATTTCGCGACCGGTGCGTAGTGGGCTTGAGTTATTGGCAGTGCAGATTAACTCGATGCACATGGGCTACCCATGCGTGCGCTAGATGTATATTACAGCGTTTTGAGCCACAAACGAGGGTTGCAGTGCAAAAGAGGCGCCTTTTTTATAGTGAGAAGCGCAAAGATGCATCCTACTAAGAGTCTGAATAGTTTAATATGACACTATATACGGTGTTTGCGACAGGCCGTGCATTGATTGGCGCAAGCCCACAAGGTCAGATTGCACAAGGATGTTTTGCCGCGCTGTCGCCGTTGTCCGCGCCGGGAGCTGCCACCGGCGCTTCGCCTCGTCGTCGTTCATCGACGTCTACAACGATGTGCGCAACCACGCCGAGACGCACCACACGATCAAGGTCGCGCGGCTCACGCAGCTCTTCAAGGCTGCCGCCACGAAGCGCGACGTGATCGACGCGGTCCAAGTCCTCCGCCTTTTTGAGACGCGGTATATTGAGCCTGTCCAGGAAACCGCGGGCGAGTTCATCAAGAAGTGCATCCAAGTCGACGCGGGCGACGTGGCGCTCAAGGTGTTTCAGAACCACTCGCGCCTCGGGCTGCACGTCAACACGGGCTCGCTCAACAAGCTTCTCGTTCACTTTTACGACAAGAAGGAGTTTAGCAACGCACTCGACTTGTACCGCGAGATGCAAGCGTACGAAGTCAAGTTCAACAAGGACACGTACAATGTGGCGATCCGGTACGAAAACCTATTTTCTCCCGGCCAAACGTAGTAGTAACCACTCTTCAGCGCGCTCTTGGAGCTCGATGACGTGGACGCGGCCGTTCAGCTGCTTCAGTTTGCAGCGTATGAACCCTGCGCATATAATCTTGCTGCACACCACCTCTGTTTTAGGTCCAAGAACGAGGTCAAGCGCTACACGTGCAACTACGTCCTCATGGAGCTTGTCAAGCGCGGTCTCAACGACAAGGTGCATCAGGTGGCACCGCAAGATACTAACGCAGTGACTAGGTTGAGATCGTCGCCAAGTGCATGACCACATACGGCATCGCGGCCAACGACACCACCAAGCACCTCGCTGGCCCAACATCCGACTAAGTACAGACTGTACCAACGACTACCGTAATTCTATCCCTCTTTTGGTATGTGCGGCTAGTACAAGCGCATGTTACCACAATACACCGAGCAGAATCGAGACACCCTCGCCTCGCTTTGCCCAGGAGTTGAGTAGACGGGTGGTAGTCATCCGGATAAAGATTCGAGAGTACCGGATACGCGACGCGCACCAGTGATAGCCAAGCATGCTGCTGTTGCGTCGCGTGGTTCGGCGTCCGGTGTGCGCCCGCGGGTTCGCGTCGCAGGCGCCGCTGACGCGCGAGTACATCCACAATTGCTTGTACCGCAAGGAAGAGGGCTACTTTACGTCGACGCAGCGCGAGGTGCTGCACGCGCCCAAGGAGCCCATCGACTTCAACGACCTCTGGGGCAAGCGCGAGTACAAGAACCAAGTCGCGGCCTTGTACGCGCAGGACAAAGAGGCGTGGATGACCCCGGTTGAAGTCTTCTACCCCTACTACTCGCGCGCGATCGCCAACTACATGATGATGTCGCCGCACACGCTCAACGCCGAGTCGCTGCACATTTACGAGATTGGCGGTGGCGCCGGCACGAACGCCCTCTGCATCCTCGACTACCTCAAGGAGCAAGCGCCCAAGCTCTATGCGAACACGACGTACACGATGATCGAGATCAGCGCGCGTATGGCCGCGCGCCAGGCCGCCCGCGTCGCGCCGCACCCCAACTGCAAGGTCATCAACAGCGACATCCTCACTTACTCGGCGAATCACCCCAATGTCAACGACCCGTGCTTCTTCATCGCAATGGAAGTGCTTGACAACCTCCCGCACGACAAGGTAACGCTGGCCGACGGCGAGTGGTTCCAGACGCACGTCCGCGACGATGCCGAGGAGCTCCACCCACTCCGCGACCCGCTCATCGCCGAGACGCTCGAATACTTTTCCTGCGAAATTCCGCTGCGAGGAACGTTCAAGCGCACCTCCGGGTACAAGGTCCTATGACGTCGTCGCACTGACTGCCAGTCGTGCTGCTTAGGCTCGCGACGCAGCTGCGGTCGATGATTGGCATGCGCGAGAAGCTCCTGAACGCGGCGTTCGTCCCCACGGGCGCGATGCAGCTCTTGCACACGCTGCAAAAGAGCTTTCCCAAGCACCACTTGATCGCAGCCGACTTTGACGAGCTCCCCGCGCCGTCGCTCGATAAGTCGGCGACCCACCAGCCGTACGACCACCCGCGCAGCGCGACGTCGACGGCGTCCGGACCGCTTCATGCTGCCAACGCGCCCCTCGTCGCGTCCAAAACTGACGGTACGCGGTCAAGCTACCTGCGTGTGCGAAAATACTCTGTAGGCGTCACGGTCGACCACGATACGTACTTGGTTCCCGGCGGCATCGCCGACATCTTCTTTCCCACCGACTTCATCAAGCTCAAGCAAGCCTACTGCCGCAAAATGGAGCTCAAGGAGCACGAGGTTCGGATAGGCCTGTGCGTTCTACCGCTCTCATGACACGCGTAGGTGTCGATCGTCAAGTCGGGTGCGTTCTTGAAGGAGTTTGGTGAAGTCGACAAGACGCGCACGATCCTCGGCTACAACCCGCTGGTCGACGACTACGCCAACACGAGCTTCATTTTGAGCTAAAGCTTGGAGAATTCAGCGTCGAGTCGCGACAATTCGGTTTCTCCAAAGCCCCACGCGGCAACGATCGATGCCATCGTCGCGTCATCAATGGCCATCGCTGTCGCTTCGAAGAGCTGCCCGACGCTCTCGCCGTCGGACGATGACAGCCACGGACGAAACTCGTGCAACGACTGAAGCACCCACGCATAGCTCAAGAGACACCACAGTTGCGAGAGCGCATCGGTCGTCGCAGCGTCCTTCCTGCAGCGCGCGTCAGAGGCTGCGAGTCGTATACCGTACGTACACTGTGCGTAGCCGGTCGGCAAAGGCTTCGAGAAGGTAGAGCTCGGAGGCGGCAAGCGAGAGGCGCGTCGTCCTGTACGCACTCCCCTTGGACACTGTGTCCGACTGCAGCGCGTGAAGTCGTTGGGAGAAGAGCATGAGGAGATCGGGGACCGCTGTAAGCTCCATATGTGCCAGTCGCGGAGGCTCGATCCGCGGCTGCTTGCGCAAGTACGCGCCATGCTGCAGCACGAGCACGTCGAACGTCCCTTCATATGTGCACGCGCCGACAATCTCGTTCTTGAGGTATACGACGGCGTGGCTCGCGTCATTGCCGCCCGTCATGATACACGCTTGGAGACTGTCGACCACTCGGGCTGAGACGAGCGCTTTGAGCCCGCTTGACGTTGCGTGCAACGTGTGCAGCTCACGCGTGTCGCGGGCCGCGAGCACTTGAGTATAGAGCGCGTAGAGCGACTGACCTGCAAAGATCGAGGCCAGTGCGAGGCCCATGGCCGGGTACAGCGTTCGCCGGGCGTCCACACCACGCGACTGCCTACGCAGCTGATTTACAGATGACAGCGCTCGAAACAACGTACAAATTTGCGAGCGTGAGCGCGAGTGCGCGGCCGAGGAACCGCGCGCACTTGGAGACGAGAAAAACGCGCGTTTTGACCATCGTAAAGTAGCCCCACGGAGCCACCGTGCCGGCTCGTCGGCGCAGCTGGCCCTGCGGACTCCACTCGACGCGCGCTGTCCCAAGCAGGAGATGTGCTTTGGGAACAGCGACGTGCTCAAAGGAGCAAAAGCCGTTGTCAACGCCGTTGAAGCCAATTTTGGCGCCAATGTCCCCGAGGTGCACACCCGGCAGAGATGCATGCGACGCGAGATCGCTATGCGCACGGTGGTTAGCTTCAACGCAAGGTAAGTAGGTAGAAGGACTACCGTAGTTGCACCAAGAAGGCGTGCACGCCGTGGTCGGTGCCATCGCCACCAAGGAGGCGAGCGTACACGACGGCAAAGTTGGTCGTCTTCCCCAAGCCACCGGGCCACCACTTGCGGCTCGTGAGCGTTGGCGAGTGCAAATCAAAGATTTCTGTAGCCGGATCGTAGGTGGCAGTCGTTTCAAGCGCTCGGATGTTGGAGCCATGGCCCAATTCGGTCTGCGCGTACGCGCCGAGGATAGGCAGCAATCGCGATCTCTCTTGCCAGAGCGCCCACTGCGCAGCGCTCATGGAAAGCTGCAGCGCGGGGACAAACATCTTGCGGTGCATGTCGAGAGGCAGCACACAGCCGAGCGCTTCGCTCAGCGCTTCTTGGTCGTCGACGTCAACGATCCCGTGCGTCTGGAAGAACGACAGCAACGTCGCTGTCTTCTCGAGCGAAGCCACATACTCTTCCTCGTGACTGCGCCCATAGACGCGCCCTGGGTACGCAATTGCGGCAAGCCAAGCCTCGCGCCGGGCGTCGGCAACGCCGATGGCTTGTGCCAACACCTGCGGGTTCATGAGGTCGCAATCTTGCATAAACAGGCAAACGGCAGCCGATTGGCGGATAAGACTCTGCGACGTCGCTAATACATTAAAAACACGCTACCTAATGGACCACACGCCTACGAAGACCAGGCGCAAAAGAGCACTTGGACGAAAACGCCCCGTGCATTGCTTTCTCAACATTGCGCCATGCGAATGCTATATGTTGTAGCGCAGAAAAGCCAATATGCATCGCACTGGTTGCCTATGACATCGTATTGTTGTGTGGGATTAGACCCCTGCACGAGCCAATCCGGAGCCCCACAGATCAACCAGCATGCCACCGACGGCGCCGCCCAAGACAACGCCGCGCCGCCTAAGCTGCTGCTGCGTCGAGTGCGGCAACGTGGTGAGCAGCACGTACCGCGACTACGGCAAGGGCAACATCCGCCTCACGATCTGCCCCAACTGCAACCACACGGTCGACAAGTACGTCGAGTTCGAGGCGATTCTCATCATGATCGACCTCATGCTCGGCAAGCCGCAGGCGTACCGCCACCTGCTCCACAACCGCCGCCCGCTGCTCTCGTATCAGCAAGTGCTCAAGATGTTCGCCGTTATCGTCATGCTCGACTGGAACACGAAGGCGTACCTGGCCGAGCGCGACGCCGGCGTCTACTTCCGCACCAACTCGATCTACAAGACGATATCGACGTACTCAGTCTTTCAGATCTCCCAACTCGGCTTGCATTACTTCATCCTCGCCGTCGTCGAGAACTTTATCTACATGCTCACGCTCTGGCTCGCTGTACGTGTGCACCCGCGCTGGCGCAGCTTTAGCCGCTCCAAGGAGCTCCAGTTCCTCGGCGCGCTGTGCCTCTCCAATTTTGGCAAGCTCTTTGCGTGGCTCACGGTCATCTGGGAATACAACTGGACGGTTGTCCACGTCATTGGCGCGATTGTCGTCTGCTCCAACTACCTCGTGCTCAAGATTTACGTCAACGACGGCACGTACGACACGCTTGCCGTCATCGCGGTCGCGGTCGCCGTCCGCGCGCTCACGCAGCTGCTGCTCTTCGCCCTCGGCAACCCCATGATCTTCTTCACGCTCATATAAACCGACGACTGACGTTGTAATACACTTGAACTACTAGCGGCGACTAAGCTTCCATCCGATGGTGCATACATCGAGCAGTCCGTTTTCTCTTTCAAGCTCTAAGCTTCTGCAAAGTTCAAGAGTGCATACTCGTACACCCTCGCGCTGCATTAACTTGAACAAAACTCGGCCTGATGAGGTTAGCCTCCGGACGCTAAATGAGCCTGACAGAAATGATCCCTCAACTTGTCGGGCTTGATTCGGCTGAGGTTTAAAGATAGTCGCAGGCCAGTGGATTTTGCTGTATTGGCATCTCATTTTGGCGCGCTATTTTGGCACGACCAGTGAGCCCCAACCCGTGTCAACCGACACGACTCTTTCAAGATGGTGCGTCATCACCCTCAATGCGGGACTCTGCAATTCGCTCATGTACACGGGGGCACTAGGCCGAGTGAACGCGCTCGAGTTCCGCAGCCCGTCCAAGGGAACGGTGCCTACACCCGCAGCCGTCGCGCCTGCGCCCAGCGACGTCTTTGAGCGAGCATTCTCCAAGGTGAAGGAGATTGCTCTGACTTCGCCGGACTGCAGCAACTACACAGAAGGTGCGTCTCCCATTCGTCCTTGCATTCATATTTATCACTTTCGATAGCCGAACTCTTGGCATGCTTTTCGCTTCCGTCACCGGCTTCAAGGAGCCGTCGGCCGAGCGCGGCGAGTTGCGGCGGCACCCATGAGACCGATCACGCCGAGACGTCTTCAAGCTCCAGCGTCAACTCGCTGCTCAATTCACTCAGCACACTCGACCTTGCAACTGTCGCTGCTCATAGTCCGTCCCGTTGTCCCGTCATAACGCCCGCACCAAGCTTCACGTCTCTACTTACGTAGGCTCTCCGAGCAGCCGCGCTCGCAACTCTGTTTTGCACGACATCCCCGAGGCACTCTTCGAAGATGACGTGTCGCCGCGCGTCGACACGACCGAATTCACCGAAGATGACGACGACGACGACGACACGACTAACAACGTGCGCGTCCTGTCGGCCAAAGAAGCTCACCGGCTGCTCCGCGGCGGTGGCTCGTTTGCGTCGCGCGTCAAGCAGCGCGCTCCACCCTCCATCGCGGAGATCGAGCTCGCCAAGCAAGCGCGCGTAGTCGAGAAGATCAACCGCCAGAGCATCGTTCGCCGCACAACGCTGCGACCCACGAGCAGTCGCGTGAGCTTTGCGCTGGACATGCCGCCACCGCCCGGCGCGACAATGACCGCGCCGCCGCCGCCCCGCGCCACGGTCGTCCTCAAGAAGCCGCCGGTGATACGAACTGCCCGAGCGTCCACCGTCGTTTCTCACACTCGCCAAGTGCTCGTGCGGCATGAGAAAGCTTCGTCGCAATCCGCGCTTGACGCTGCCAAGCGCGTGTACGCTCCGCTCCAGTCAAGAAGATGAATTATATGGTGAGTAGGAGCAACATGAAGCTCGGGACGTCGCCCAAGAAGGCCAAGGTCAAGCACGAAGACTTGATCACGTCCGTGCGCTGGAACAACCGGCCTCGCCGCCGACACCGACGCCTCGGCGACGAGTGTACGTGCTCGATCCACGTCACCACACGATTCAATATCTGCGGAATTAGTGATCAAACAGCAAGCGTCGCACGTGTCGCTGGACGTCGTAGATCGCATCGGCACCCGCGCCGCGTGCCCCGTGCATTTAATTACGGAGCAGCCGATTGTCGACTTTTCGTACGTGCCCGGCGTCGTCGACTCGCACAACCAGCCAACCAAGCGCAAGAGCATGCGCGTCAAGCGCGTCAAGCGGCCGTCGCTTTGGCTAGCCATGCATTGTACCTCGTAACGTACGCACACGAAGAAGTTCACCATCATCACCACGTTGAAATACGCTAAATGTTCAGGCACGTTGCAGCGCGGCTGTAGGTGGTTTGTCCCCCACGTTCTCTTG